CTGTGTCTCACATAAAAGCTCTGGAGTAGCTGGATGGTCCTACTAAAAGGTCATCAACCCTTTAGGATGGACAACGGCTGCTTCTCATTTTCAGCAGATGAGCTCATTTCCAATGAGCCCCTTTGTCCTACAACAGAGATTCAAATGCCTACAAAGCCCAAAAAGCACAGACCTTAAGAGAACAAATACAAAGAGCCCTTTGCAACAGGGAAAGCATTGCCTGGCTATTGTGCTGTGCTGCTGGACACTGAAGACACCTTGGCAAAGCAGTGCAGATGCCCAGCAGTTAGATGTGCTCAGACCAGCTGAATGAGGCCAGGAAATTTTTATTTACCTCAAATATCATATGTGAAGATGGCAGAAGCTAAGCCATCTATTTCAGCCCAAAGTGAACATCTGAAAAAGCCATATCCCCTGGAGTCCCGTAACTGAGGAACCATAAAACTCTCTGTCACATTAATGCTACAGGAGGGAGGAATTCATTCTGAACCCACCAAATCAATCTCAATTTGCTTGTACCCCTAAATTTTCTTTCTTAAAAGAAATAAATACATTCCTGACAACAACTGAAGTTCTGTAACATACCCTGTGGACTGCACTTCCAAAATCCTCATGGTGCAAACCAACCAAAGCAGCCAGGCTCAGGCAAGTACCAGGAACAATGAAACTGACTCTGAGCCTGGAGTAGCAAATTTGCACAGACATTTTGAGTTCAGATTCAGTGATGTGTTTTTCACAGAGCCTCACAGCCCAAACCCAGAGCAAAAATAAGGATCTTTCTCAAAGCTGAGGGAATGTGCTTCCCCTCGCTGGGTTGGAAGCTTTAATCATGGTTGGAGACACAACTCTGCATAAACCAACATAAAACACCTGAACTCACAGCCATGCATTCTTGACACAGCTATAAGTGGGGCATTACAATTAGAAATTCACAGGGAAGAGACCTCCTGGGAGTCTTTTGCCTTGTTTTTTGTTTTTTGTTTTGTCTTCAGCACTCAACATTTTGCCTTGGTTTGCCATCGTACAGCTGAAACTGTTCAATCCTGTCCCACCACTCTGCAAGAAAATACATCCACTGCCTTTCTCTGCTTTTATTATCCCCAAATGGTTATCAAGAGAAGTGACAGGATAACCACCAGCACTGTCAAACATTTAAATCCCTTTTAAATTCCAGTCATTAGAAGACATTATTTCCCAGTATGCTTGAAACTTAATGAAAATATATCATTGATTTTTTAATTTAATGTTCTTTACATTTTTATTGTTCTGTGGCTCACACTGAGAATAAGCCTCTTTTCCTTCAAAATAGTGCTCACTTTGGCTTAAAGTGCTGGATAGTGACAGATGTCTAGTACTGGGGGCAATGACACAGGGACAGGGACACAGGCATGAATCCTTAGATATCTTGCCTAATTCTGCCTTCATGTTCCCCACCTGTTTGCACAACCACATCACCCAAAGGCCTTCAACCCAGACCAAGGTTCCACATTGCTACATGCCATACACATGGGGAGCAGGAGGCAAATCACACTGAAGAGGTTGCCAAGCTACAAGGACAGAAGAGATTTTGAGAGGAAGGAGAGGAGAAACATTACATTCAAGGACATTTAGCACAGCAGTGCTTGCTGGGAATGAAACAGGTCTCCAGAGTGCCCAGTTCCCTCTGGATCAAGCTGCCTCCAAGAGCTGTGTACAAGTAGATTGCATCTTGACCATGGTGCATCGTCAAACAAGATTTTTTTTTGCTATTTAAATACTTAACAAATATTGGCTACAGAGCATTTGCTTTTAGAAAAACCTTAAATACCATCAGACCAGGTACATCTTATTACCTGGTACATCTCCCACAAAGTGCTATTTTGCCAAACAGACATCCTGTTGGAAATACAGGATAAAACTCAAGATTTTTGGAAGATAGGTGTCCAATTTCAGACGAAGCAATCATCATTCAATACATAATTCACAGCAGGGACAAAAAATCCTGAGCTTAGGTGTGCTGCTATTTCCAGTATTTCATTTTCACAGTCTCTGCTGGAAGCCCTTTCTCCAGAGTCACAAAGTTTTCTTGTCTTTTAAAAAATGCAAACATTTTCTTTATGGGCTGAAATTTAGCATGTTTGGTTTCGGGTGGTTTGTTATTTTTTTTGGTTAAGGTCTTGCTGTACTGATCTCTTATGCAAGGATTTAAGCAGAACAGGTAAAAACTGGGGAAAATACCCTTTAATAGAGGAGTCAGATGACCACAGCATTCACTAGGCCTCTACTTAGGGGGTTCACACAATTTATGACTTGCCCCTGCTCCCATCCATGGAAATTATGCACCTAATATCTTGTCTTTTACTAATGTCTCCCTTTACTAATGAAAGATACAGTGGGTTCTCTGCCTCTAAACTTTCCAATGAGGTACTGCAATTTAGAAGGTGTGATATGTACACAGAAGCACATTGAAGCTGCACAACAGGAGCTCTGTACTTTACCCATCACACTAGTACTTCCAAACTGCAGCAAACAGGAGGAAAATATTAATTAGATTTTTTCATAATGCATCTGCAGTTCTTCCAACAACACCCGAGGCAAATTAAAGCTCATATGCCACTGCAGTCATGGCAATTTTGAGATCATGTTGGTCACCTTGTCCATTTCAATTTACTATACCAGAGGGCTAGAACTGGTCATGCTGGTGAAGGTCATGCAGATCCTTTCAAAAACTTCAGTTCTAGCTGAATTCTTTAAATAAAGTCTCTCCTACACCACCTCACATGACAGAAAACATCCTTAGATGCTGCTCTGTTGAGGCTAAAGATGATGATTTAGTCTTGTAATTTTCTGTGCTTTTAGCTATGTGCAATTTTGAAAGAAAAAAACTTGCATTTAATCACTTCTGACTGCTTCTGTGACTCAGTCAGAGACACTTTTGCTCGCAAGACACGGACTCGGCCCTTTGCTTTCCTATTCAGCTGCTGAGAATTAGGCAGGACCCCGAGGTACTAGAGGGCACTGCTGACCACAGGTGCCCAAACTCTCTCCCCTCCTTCTATTAATGGTCATTTTCAGCTCATGGCAGTGTCCTCTCACCTGCCCAGCAAACAAAAAAAGTCACCAGTGACAGCCAGGTAAGCAATGCAGGGATGGTGCAGAGATTCACCCATGTCCTCAACAGCAAGGGCTAAGGGACGTTTTCTGGGGTTGATGTTGGCCCACCCTTTCTGAGAAACATCCCTCCGTGCCAGAGGCACCCCCTGGCGTGTCTTTGCAGTCTTGAACTCATACCAAGGATCAAGAGAGCTTCCCTTTGTGTGAGTTTAGTCCAATGGGCTGCGTATGTTAAATAAACTGTGTGTCGTTACCCTGCTATCACTCCTAGTCCAGTGAGAGAGGATTATGTTACGATTTATCTTACGTTGCTTTAAAACTGTCTTGAAGATAATATAAAAAAGAAATGTAACAATAAAATTTCTTATTCCAGAATAGGAGTATCCCCAAGGGCAAGGTATTCCTATAAAATTATTATAATGCTTTAACCACGTAAGCACAACTGAAAACATCTTCTCTGAAAACAAGTCATGGCTCTTTTTTCCTATCTGCAGCCATTATCCTGATAAATTTGGGAAGGTCAGCTAAGGTGTAATCCAATAAATGTGCTGATGTTCTGAATAAGTACCTTACAATTTGCAGCCTAATCTATTATCCTACTATAAGACCATCAAATGACTCACCAGTTTTAATACTTAGTACAGATCAAACAAAGGAAAATATCAAAGCTTTACGTTCTAGTTCCACCTTTCAAGGACTTGTTTGAGTTCTCTTTAATTACAGCAGATGATACATCCAACTCTGGCATTTTCTTTCTCTAACAGCTCTAGTTAGAAGTTTCTGCAGCAGTACTTTTCACAAGGCATCATTACATTAACCAAGAGATGCTGAAAAGTCAGATAGACTGAATAAATCAAGTTGTGATTTGATCCCAGAGATGGAGTTCAGCTTCTTCTGCCCACCAGATCACACAGTGTGTAGTGCACCTGGGAGCCTCACCATCCTGGTGCTCCTGGGTGCAGGTGACAAGTCTGCAGAGCCCCCACCTGAGCTGTGGCAGAAAGCCATGGAAATAAGCACATTGTTGAACAGGAATGAGCTCATCACCTTGGAGGGTGATGAACTTCACAAGTCAGATTAAGTCCCAGACTTGGGCTATGACTTCAAAACCTCCAGAAACTCAAATACACCTGTACATATAGCTGTACACAGCCTACAGACCCACACACGTGTAAGAAATGAGACCAGTCACGAGACTAGGAAGGAAAGACAAGGCATAAACATATCTAGGATGATTCTAAGAGATCTCAAGAATTGCCCTTTTAAAAGTGCCATCAGGGTGTCACCACTTCCTCTGATAAATAGATGACATCTCACCAGAACTTGAATAGCTCCACTCAAGCACTACCTAGATGAGTGACAAAAATTAGCCAAGTCGCTGTCACCCCTGCAGTCCTCGTCTAGACACAGCAGAGAAGTGCGAATTCCAGTCTGCCTTGCTGGGCTACAGCCACCCTGACAGCTGAGCTCCGATCCAAGCCACTTCATGAGATGCGGATATCTGGATCCTTCTGGCAGCGCGACAGGCAAAAGTTAACAGAACAGAAAAACAACAAGAAAATAAAAGCACAAAAGTACTTGTGAACTGAGAAGGTTTTAATTCACAAGTCATTGTTGGTTGGAAGTTGAGGCAAATGAAATGCCATTTTTTGCAAGTATTTTTCTAACAATCTCTGTGGCAATCTGACAATCGGGACCAGAGCCTCTTTGCTCAGAGGTGCGGCAGCTTTTGAGCCGGTGCCCCCTCAGAGCAGCTGCACCCTTCTCCCCATTGACAGCCACATCTGGATGCTATCAGGAGGAACTGGCAGGCCCTCTCGCAACAAATACCAAGCACTTAGCAAATTGACTCCAGAAGTCGATGCTGGCCCCTTTCCCACTCCGTGTTTACACAACGTGCCACTAACCTGTTGAGTCCGAGGTTTGTATGGAGAGCTGCTCTCTAGGTCGGCCAGGATGCTGGTCAGAGAGTCGATTTCTGCATCTAAACTGCACCGCCTCTCCTCAAGCGTCTTGCCACCAGGCTTCACCTTAAAGAAGAAAGAAAAGTTCCAGTCATTCAAACCACTTGGCCTGGTGCTTGGTTTCTTACTGTCCTCACGGAGCTGCACCCATGCCCAGCAATAACTCTCAGGTTGCAGGGACAAACATGCTGAAATCCTATAGCTGCCTCCATCTCACAGGAATTTATGCTGCTTTGGGGCTTTTCTTCACCTAATTGCCACAAGGGTCCCATTGTGTAAAACTGACTTGGAGGATTAGCAATTCAGCAATCTGCTGCCAAACTGAAGAGGCAGGACAGTGCTCACAATAAGATGGAGAAGATGTTATAGAACGATACCTGTCTGGAAAGACAAAGCTGGGGACAGGCTTGGAGCACCTGGATCATGAGAGCATTCTTCTGCCATGTTCTCATCTTAGGCAAGGCACAAACAGAACAGTGCTACAAGCCACAGTAGCTAATAACTGGCCACATGCACCTATTCTTATTTTAAATCAATTCTTGGTAGGTGTACCTGTCTGATTCAACACTTCTTCACAAATTCCATCTGAAAAATCAGCTCCTTCAAGAAGGAGAGAAAAGGTTCAATCCATTTCTAGCAGATTGAAGGTGAATGGTGTGATTTGCAAAAAGCAGTCACAAAATAACATAAGTAAGGTCCTTGTGAAAGGCTTTTATGCAGGAAAGCCAATGCCCACAGCAAATGCCAACATGCAGCCAAGGACCTTAATTCAATACATTTTGCTTTCTTTCTGCTTTCAGAAATTTGTACCCAGGCTGGTAAGGATGCTCACTTTGAAGGGAAGTTATATGAATTTTCACCACCACCACCCACCTCAAAAAGTAAAACCCAGAACTCAGCACCACAGCAAAACATGTGATGTTCAAGCCACTGTTTCAGGGCAGCACTGCAATCCCTGCTACAATAAACATTTTTAAAGAGGACTAATTTACACACTTTTTGATAAATCAACCTAGTGCAAAACCTCTGGGAAGGACCTGTGTGTTGTACAGCCCAACCCAACAGCAGGACCTCTCAACAGGGCACAAAGTCAGGTAAAGACTAGGAAACATCCTCCTCAATGTTTTCAGTGCTTTGGGAATTAGGAAGCTCCACTAGGAATGGGAAATTTATGAAAGCCAGCTGAGGATCCCTGCCATGGACAAAGTAGGTGCCAGGGTCTAGGACCACTGAGCCAGGCCACCACCAGGGCATGCACAGAAACCAAAGTTCTTGAGTCAAGTGAAATATTACACTGAAAGTCTTTTCTCAACCTGAGTTCTTTTTCTTCTGTTTTTACATGTCTTACCTGCAAATCCCATGGACAGGACAGAGTCTCTCTGTGTATGTGCAACCACAGAGTTCAGTGCAGAAGAGCTCATTCAGAGCATGACAATGTCAATAGTAAAATACTAAAGAATTACCTAAAAATTTGCCTAATTTCAACTGCAAAAGCTGTTCAGACCATACCAACACCTTCCACAGACAATCCAGCTCTGTTTGCCTTCACTCTCACCAAGTCACTTCAATTTTCCAAGCTAAAAGTTTGCCTTTTCCTTTGGCTCACTGGCTGTTCCAGATAGTTTTTATTTAAATTTCACTTTAGGAGCGGTCGATCATTACTTCTCTTAAAGAAGTCCCCAGTCATCAATGTGACACATAAATGGCAAGCTGGTCAGAGAGACAGGCTAGGCAAAGTAGGCAGCCTCTGATCTGCCAAACTTATACGTCATGAGGCATCCATCAGTTCCTAATGATTATTAAATCTTATTGGATTAAATATGTTTGGCTTGACTAACAAGAATACAGAAGTGTGGCTTATGCAAGAACACACCATTTAAAAGGTAATCTGAGAGTCAGATAAGAAAATACTTACAAACTCAACTCTTCTCGCCTATTTTCATTATAGAGCCGAAGTCTTTCCATCCAAACCATTGCTCAAAGTAAGAAATATTTTTCACAGGAACTAGCTCAGATCATTCCTGGCTAACTGCAGGCACCTGGCTTTTAAAATCTGCAAAAGTACAACTTCTTTTCCACTTCATGGCTCTTGTTTGGTTTTTCTCCCTCTTCCAGTTGTTGGCCTGTAACTGCCACAGGCCTCTCAGACAGAAAATCTGTGATTGCTCCACTCCAGAGAATTTTGAAACTAAGCAGACAAAAGCCAGCCTGGAAAGGAAAGGGGAGATGCAAGGAGCATCCAAGGCCCCAACATGTGAGGTGATAAATCAAGCCAATGGCAGACCCAGGAATAACACTGGAGTCCACACAGGACCTGCTTGGTACCCTGACCCTGGAGAGAAGGGATGGTGGCAGATGAGAAGATCAGCCAATTTCATTTCTGCTTCTTAGCATTTCTGGGCCATATTATTCCCAGGTTCTCATTCCCCAGAACAATTATGCAATAGCTGACTAGGAAATGCTGCAGAACAAGTTATAAGGTTGTAAAAGTTAAATGTCCTTAGGAAACCTAGAAAAATAAAATAAAACAGCATAGAAGCATCTCTATTGATTCTGGGCTCTGATTTATTTATTCAATTAAAACATAATCAACATAGATTAAGAGCCCAACTCTACAAATGCAGGAACATAATGCAGTGCAACAGTGCCAACAAATGACACTACCAGTGTGTGCCAGAGTTTACTGGGGCAGAAATGGACTTTAAAGACATTTAAGAAATGGCAGTCCTCACAAAGACATGTTTCTGGATGCTTTTTCTTCCCCATCCCCACAAATCTTGAATTTTCTCTCTCCCCATATTCAACCAAAGGATTTGCTGCGTGGGAAAACTGGAGCATTTGCAACACCAACTTCAGTAAGAGAGGGTTAAGTTATTCCTCTTTCCATGCTTTTTGTCATGACGTTGCTATAAAAGTTTTATGATATTGTTCTGGAACAAAACCCGAGCGCCAGGTCCCAAGGCACAACAGGTTCGCACAGACGCGCCTCTGCTCCGAGGAGCCCGGGCTGGTTAAGCTCAGAGCCCCACAGATACAAACACCGGAACCAGAGGGAACTGCTAACTCTATTTCTGTCTGCATTTATGGCATTGTTGCAGACATGTCGCTTGTGCACCCCCTCTTCCAGCCAGCAGAATATGGAAAAATGGGTTTAAAAAGAAAAAGGATGCTATCTTTGGCTCAGCCAACGTGAGTTCGACAAAAAGCAAACGTAAGCCAACCCAGTCCAACAAATTACTCATGCCAGAGAATATCCACTCCCGTGAGCTTCTGCAACGCCTACACTCCTATCCCCTAGCTCAGCCTCTGCTGTGAGTCAAAAGAGAGAAAAACAGCAGAGAGTTTCACTGCTTGGTTTGTTTGTCTGCCCCTGAATTCCTGGTGTGCAGCTCAGAGCGGCTCTGATGGTGAGCCACTCCTGAGCCACATCAACCCACTCTGCTCTGATGAAAATTTGCTATACTTTTGCTAATCCATCCTACAACCCAACAGCAGTCAGTGCCACAGGTCCCCCCACACCACTCCAAGGAAGATTCATTACAGAACATGCAGTGCAGAGGTCAACACAGGGTCTTAAATTTTGCCTCACTGTGCTAAAACAGTCGTAAGACTATTCACCAAGCTAAAAGACATGAAGAGCACAATGTTTTCCCTAGATGTCACTTCTTCTTACAACCCTAGATCACCTACTCTTATCATATTTTACAACTTTCAGCAGAGGAACAACAATGTCTCTCATTTAACCAAGCCAGCTCCTTGCAGCGGGCTCAAAGAGAAGAATCTGGCTCCCAGATGTCCTTCCTAGCTCCTGCTCCAAATTCTTTTCCCTACCCAGGCCCAGCTGCCTCTCTGTTATTCTGCTTTCCCCTGTCTCCATGCCCTGCTTGCTGCTCTGCAGGGCTGTAGCTCAGGCCAGGCATTAGCCCCTGGGATGGGAGATGCAATGTGGGCTGCCAGGTTGGCCTCTGAGCCAAACTGCTGGTGCCAGGTGGGGTTGCTGTGTTGGGGAAACATGGAGAGATGGAGAGTGGCTGTGCAGCAGCGACCTGCTGACATGGGTGGCAGGCTACAAGTAACTCCAGAGCCCCAGCGTGTATCTTCTACTAACACAGGGCAATGGGCAACCTCCTGAATCCTGTGGGAGCATCAGGACTTTCTCATCACAGTGCAACTTTCTAGCATCAATATTCACTATCTCTCCATCCACCTCAAAAGTCTTGACTAACAGAGGTTGAGCTCAGCACATTTGCATGTTTCCTGAGTGCTGTGGCCAGCTCATCCTCTGAACTGTGTCCCAGGAACGTGAGCTGTCATTCGTGGGAAAGTAATGCTGGTTTATCTGTGCAGACACGTCCAAGACAGCAGAGCTGCAGCTAAACACACAGCCTTCCTTGGAGCATCAGCTCACTCCACATGCCATGCTATCACAGGCCACTGATAACCTCCTAACTCACAAGTGAAAGACTGGGGATGAGCACCATGGATATTAGGAAAGGTCACAGCTAATGACTCCAAACAAAGCTGGGGGCCCACAGTGCCTTCTGCTCCCAGTACATTGGTTTTACTGGGAGCCTGAGGTGCTTGGGATCTCTCTTTGAGCTGCAACACATCAACACCTTCTGCATTTACACATCCAATAACAGGGAAAAGCAGAAAAGCCTTCTGGGGCAAAGGAAGGGCAAAAGCAACAAGAGAAGCAACTGGAATTTAGGCAAATCAGGGATTTTGAGCAAGTAGATAGTACATAAGGACTTCTGCCCTGAAAAACTTTACTGTCTTTTCCTCCAGCAAAAGCCAGTGAACCACAGGTGAGTTGGTAGAGCTGATAAATTCAGTGCCCACTGCCTGCTTCCACCAGGCTGCACCGGTGGCAGCCACCCACCACGCTCTGCAGGCTGTTGTAATCCTGGGATAGGCACGGAGGTGGTGGAAGAGCAAATAAAACAGGAGTGAGCCTCTCCTTATGCTCCATGGCCTTGGGCACTGGGCTTAGACAGAGATGCAGACAGAGCAAGAAGGATGTGGTTCTTATTTCCTATTTTAGCTGGGGACAGGTGAGGGACAGA